CCTGGAACCAGAGGAGCGGGGCAGGGGCGAGGGGGGCGGGATCTCAGGATCTTCACTGGTCCAGGGTCCAGAGTCAATGCCATGGCCATCATCCCACACTGCAGGAGGTCCCCACAGCAGGGGTGCAGGTGACCTGGTTACCCCTGGCCCTGCAATATCCCCAGGTAGGTGGCCTGGGAACAGAAGGCCACGATGACCTTGCCTGACCCTAGAGCTCACAAGGGCCTTTTCACAGGAAGGGTTGTTCTTGCCAGAGGGCGAGTGATCATGAGCTGGGGTGGCCCTGCAGGGGACAGCCTTATGTCTTGGGCGGTTGTGTGCCTCTAATGTGGGCTGACTCTCTCTTGCTCTTTGCAAGGAGCACCCATCCACTCTTCAGGTTCCCAAGACGGTGGGAGGAATGAAGGCAAGAGAAGGAAAAAGAGCGAACAGCGGGAGGTCGGGGCACTGCCACAGAAGGGGCCACAGGCTTGGGGGGGGAAGAGAGTGATCATCATGGTCATGTGACTAAGGGTCTCACCATCTTGCCAGGTGTGCAGAAGAGCTGGGGGGTTAGTGACCCCAACTATTTTAGCATCTCATCCTCAGAGAACAGCAGCCTCCATGGGCCAGGCAGGGAGCCTGAGGGAGGCCCAGGGAACGGGGTGGCCACACCCAGAGTGGAGGCCGTGGGGAGAATGTGTCTGTGAGTGCGTGGATGTGGGTTTTTTCCTCTCCCCGCTGTGTGAGTGGAGGGGCAGGCAAGAGACCCCACAGGCAGAGGGGTGTTTTGAACCGGGTTGCTCAGGAGAAAAATGAACCTCTGGCAGAGCCGGTGACCCTGGGGGCGACTCCCTCTCCTCCTTCTGCACTTGGGGGGCCAGGGTGTGGTGGGCCTGGGGCAAGGAGCCAGGAAGAGACACCTGCCTTCAGCCAGGATGTTTTGGGAGGTGGGGGCAATCCTTCCCCGAGAAAGGATGTGTCACCGCCTTCCCTAGCCCCCAACCCCTCTGTGGCTCCAGCCTCTACCGTCCCATTTCCTTCCTGCCTGTTGTGTGGAGCCCTCCTGTGAGTCCAGATCCCAGGGTCCTAGCTGGGTGACCTTGAATTAGTTCTGTGACTTCTCTGGGCTTCACTTTTCTTACCCGGAAGGAAACAAAGATTGGGATACCTTGCTGCCCTGGGAGGGTTTGAGGAATTCAGGATAGTGCCCGGCTCAGGGGGAGGGACAGACAAAGGCGGCTCTGTGGGGCCTGCTGTCTCTTCCATTGTCTGCTCTGATACCGCATGGCCCCGCCCTTATTTTCCTCTCTGTCTCATTACTCTCTCTCTCTCTCTCTCTCTCTC